GACTCAGAAGTTCAGGGAAGGTCCAGAGAAAACAAGAAGGGGATAAAATATCTAGCTAGAGCAATGAATAGCTGCTGTCCCAGAAAGATCTTTAAGGAGGACTCTCCCTGAGGATAGAAAGCTTGTTGCCTTAGAGAAGGGAAAGCATGAACAATGGACTGTCCAGTTCTGCTCCCTCCCCAACCCACTTTTTTCCCTCAGCCCAGCCCCTCTCTCATCCCCAGTTGATTCTGTGGGTCAACTTACTAAGAGTTTTCTGACCAACATGCCAGTGGAGGGTGATCTGAGGGTGCTATTGACACCCCTCTTCCTCTCCAGGTCCTTTACCAGTTTGAGAACAGATGCAAGGAGCCAGAGAAAGATCAGATAAGGCATGCACTTTATGAAGGGGTTAGACAAGTACACTAGCGCCCTCAAGGTCAGGGTTTCTGTGTACTATATTAGAAAACATGGTCTGAAGTCAGATGGAAGCTTCCTACTACTTCTCTCCCCTCTCACAAAATTACCTTAGAGCTTACCTGGAGGGTGGTGGGGGGTTGAGTTTATAGGCCAGATCATACAGTTCACATATTATAAGAGTGCACACACAGGCAGCTACATGGATTGCCCAGGGCTTCCTCACTCCCTTTGGGATTCAGGAAAAAGCATTTCATGCTATTACTCCATCACTGATGTGGCTCAGAGGGTCATCAGCCTAGCCAATCAAATGTGTCATCCTTCCCTTCAAGGGGAGATGTGCGTAACAGGGTAGAGAGCAAAGCCAGGTGTTTGTTCCATCCTAATCTCCCCAATTTCAGCACATTTATTTGGGGTATCAGGAATATACAAGAAAAAAGGTGCTTGCTTTCAGGAAGCCAGATCTAGCAGGAGTGAAAAAGATATACATGTCTCTGGTATGACTTGGTGTGGTAAGTGCTACACCGTACCAGCAGGAATGAGAGATTCTAGAACACAGAGGCAGGAGATGGATGTTGCACCATAGGGCCAAGCTGGGATAGAGAAATAGGGCCACATAGGAGCCTCCATAGAAGAAGCAATTTCTGAGGTTTCTCTTGAAGAATGGGTAGCTTAGCGCACTCTGGGGAATGAGTGGGAATTCATCTGGTGGAAGAAAGGCTTTTTAGACAGAGAAATAGAATGTGAAAGCACAAAGACATGCACTACCAGTTCATATGTATGTTTGAAGATAAAAGGAACCAGACAGGGCAGAAGGCAAAGGGATATTAACATATCTTTTAGGCAGTGGGGAGCCATTAAAGAGACTTTTGTTTTTTGCTTCTTTAAAAAAACTTTCCCAAACATTTAATTAAGAAAATTTTCAAACATCCAAAAGAGCTGAAAGCACTGTAGAGTGAACACTCATATATCTACCATCTGGATTCTATAATGAATATTTTGCATTATTTGCTTTATCATATGTCCATCCACCCCTTTCTTATTTTTGTGATGCATTTCAAAGTAGGTCAGAGATATCAGTACACTCACCTCTAAACATATTTAGAGTTCCACGTTTGCTTATGATTCCTTTTTAAGGTAAAGTTTACATACATAAATCTTACGTGTATCATTTGATAAGTCTTGGTAGATGAATATACTTACAAAACTCAGTACACTAAAATACAGGACATTACCATCACCCCAGAAAGTTATCTTGTGTCCCTGCCCAATCACTTCCCGTCCACATCCTAGCTCTGGCAGCCATGGATCTCATTTCTAACGTAACAGATTAGTTTGCAAGTATTACAGCTTCATATGTTTGGACTCATATAGTATGTACTCTTCTTTCCTTTGGCTTCTTTCACTCAGCATAATATTTTGACATGTATCCATGTTTTTATGTGTGTCAGTAATTTATTCCATTGTATGAGTGTATATCATACATTATCTATCCACTGATTCTCCTATTGATACTTGAGCTGCTCCCAGTTTTTTGTTTTTATTTTGCTATTATAGATAAAGCTGTGATGAGCATGTTTTACAAGTCTTTTTTAGACATAAGCTCTCATTTCTCTTGAATATACCTGAAATTGCCGGGTCACTGGATAGGTCTATGTTCAGTTTTATAAGAAACTTTACATTCCCACCAACAACATATGAGAGTTTCAATTGATCCACATCCAGACTAACATTTGGTATTGCCAGTCTAAATTTAGCCATTCTTGTGGGTATGTTATGATATCTCACTGTGGTTTTAATTTGCATTTCCTTAATGAAAAACTATTTTGAGCATCTTCGTATAACTTCCTTTGTGAAGTTCCTGTTCAAATCTTATGCTCACTTTTAACTTGGCTATCTTTTCATTATTAGACAATAGTTTTAAGCAGAGGTCTGACAAGATCACTTTCATGGTCCTGATGGTTCTCTCTGGCCACTGCATGGAGGAAAAACTGCATCCAGGAGATGAGTTAAGACGTTAGGGTAATGATCCAAGCAGAGATGACAAGGGCCTGGGCTGGGGTCTGAAGCCTTCTTGCCAATGCTTGCTTGCATTTCCCCTTCTCCCAGACTAGTTCAACTGGGGAGGAGCAAACAGGCCATAAAAACAAGCAACTGTACTGCTGCTGCTAAAGGAGACCCACGTAACTTGCAGCATTGTCAGTTAATGTGGCAATATCAGTGGCAAGTGAATAAGGAGAGCCAGTGGATTCTTTAGCCTGAGCAAACCATCAACAGTAAACTCAACAGGGATTTAGTAGGGAGGTGGGAGGTGAGACAATAGATGTAACCTGTTGACAAGAGACTGTCACTGTCACCTACAGACAACATATGGGGCTCCTATAAGGCCAGCAGAAATGTTTTCTTGAGAAAAAATACATAACAACTAACATTTCAGAAATACACTCCAAAACTATAGTTGAGTCTATGTGCCTAAGAACCAAGATTGGAAATGCATGAATTATGATTGTTTTTAGGCTGAAGAGCATCATTTATTTAAAGGTGATTATTTTATCTTCACTCATGGCATTAGCATGTTGACACAGAGGACAGTGTCTGAGAATTTGTGTGCTTATCATAACCATGTTTCAATTTCACACTTGTATTTTTTGCTAGGACCTCTTTTATCTTCTTTTACTGACATCTATAATTACAGAGGGCACAACTTAAGCTAAAAACTGATTATTCTTTACAAGAGAAGTTCAAATATGAGCTTAATTAATAAATTTCTTAACACTTCCTCCTTGCTAAAGCATTCATTTTTAATAAGGAAACCCCCTGACATGTCATTCAGACTTTTATTCATGTGCATGCATACATAAACTACTACTGCCCTCATCTCCCCATGTGGAAGTATCATTTGTCACCCAGGAGTAATTGGTTCATTTGCTAAGTTTGCCCTTTAGATGTTCCATGTTTTCCTGACACCTGCAAGGTTCATTTAGAGGCCTTTAGAGCTTTTTACTCAAGATGACAGTGTCTGAAAAGGTGTTCTGAAGGACAGATTTGACTACAGTATTGTTTGATCAGAAGAAAACACTGTTCCCATATAAAAAGCATACAATTCCTGCAAGAAAGGAGTAAATGCTAGTACCACTACCAGGATGTCAGGGAGTATAACAGGGTTACAACCAGATACACTTGTGACTTCTTATATTCATAACTGCAACAACCTACCATCACAGCAAGTTAAAGCCACAAACTGCTACAACCAAAACTTACCATCAGAACAGGTTACCATCATGATAATTACAACCACTAGCCATCATAACCACAAGTTACAATATTTTTTTATGTTTTAATTTATCTTTATTGTTGAAAGTATTACAAATGTCCCCCCTTTCTTACCATTGATTCCCTGCACCCTGCACCCACGCCCCAGGCCTTCTCTCCACTATTGTCTGTGTCCCTGGGTTATGCATATATGCATATAAGTTCTTTGATTAATCTCTTCCCACCCACCCATTCCTGCCTTCCCTCTGAGGTTCCTCAGTCTGTTCCATGCTTCTGTGACTCTGGATCTATTTTGTTCATTGGTTTATTTTGTTCATTAGATTCCACATGAGTGAGATTACATGACACTTGTCTTTCTCTGACTGGCTTATTTTGCTTAGCATAATACTCTCCAGTTCCATCCATGCTGTCTCAAACGGTAAGAGATCCTTTTTTATAGCTGGAAGCATTCCATGGTGTAAACATCTGAGAAGATGTTTGATATGATTTCAATCTTCTTGAATCTGTAGAGAATTGTTTTGTGTCTTAACATGTGGTCTATAATCTTAATGTACCATCATAACAGGTTACAACCATAAGTAATAATCACAAATTACAACCATAACCTGTTTTGTCATATCAAGTCTGGCTAAAATTTCTCCATGTTAGGGTCACATCTGGACATATATTATGATAAAAGGTTTGCATCATTGGCATTTTGGAGAATTAAAAATATCTGGCTTTGGGGGAGAATATGACTATGAAAGGATGGCATGAGGGAGTTCCCTTGTGATGAAAGAGTTCTTCTTTCTGCATCCTGATTGTGCTCATGGTTACTAAAATCTACACTTGTGATAAAATTTGATAGACCTACATGCACACAGGTGCACATACACACAAACACACACACACACACAAGCGCATGTGAAATCTAATGAAATTTAAATAAGGACTACCCTTGACTTAATAACAGTATTATACCAATATCAGCTTCCTGGTTTTTACAATGCACTGTGGTTATGTAAGACAGGGGAAACTAGGTGACAGGTACACAGGAATACTCCTTAACAATTTTTACAACTTCTTGTGAGTCTTAGACTATGTCAAAATAAAAAGATATTTTGAAAGATGTTTTGCTTGCTATGAGTCTCTTTAAAAAATGCTTCTCACAATAATTTTTGCTTCTCCCATCCCAAGGGTGATAGGCTCCCCAGCTGGGGGACTCTTCCCAATGAGTCCTGCATCCCTCGGTTACTGTAATTGGTGCTGCCTTGGCAAATGGCTTCTTCTAGTGTAGAGATATTAACACATGCAGCACCCTGGCTTAAGGAACATCACGGAAAATGTGTAGCTTTTCAAAATTGGATTATAAACTCTCCTCCTTGAGCTGCAAAGTCTACATCATTCCAAGTGAACCCCAAGTTGCAAGTACTGATGTCTGGGAACTACCTCTGACTTCCCAGAGGCTAAGAATGGTTCAATCAACCTAGTGACAATGTAATCACATTTTAAGTGAGAATAAGGTGTTCAGACAAATCAATGTTCCTACCTCTACCTTTGTCAGGGTTGTAGTCACCACCCCCTAATATGTCTTCCAGATCCTTGTCTGAAAAACCTGGAGAAAAAAGAATATACAGTTCAATAACAAAAAACATTTTTTAATGACAAGAAACTTGCGTTAGTTAATGTTGCCCAACAACCCCAGAAAATGATTGCCATTTAAGAATATTCTTGATCAATGTGGTAGGCAAAATTCTAAGATGGCCCCCAAGATTCCCTCCCACTAGTATACCTGTCATCCCATTACTTTAAGTGCCAGCAGGACCACAAATAGGATGGCTACTGCTCCTGTGATTAGCCTATATTACATGACAAAAGTGAAGGGATTTAGTAGATGTAATTAAGGCACCAAAAAAGTATGGCTTTATATTCATCAAAAGGGAGATTATCCTGAATAGGCCTGACTTAATCAGATGAGACCTTTAAAACAGGGTTGAGACCTTTTCTGAGCTCAGATACTAGAAACAACAGAGTTAGTCTTCTTCTCCTACTCTACGCACCTCTGTCTCTGTACTCTGTTTTTCTCCTGCTGGTCCTGGAGAAATAAACAGCCTTTAGTTCTACAACTGCAAGGAAATGTACTCAGCTAACAACTACATGACCTTGGAAGAGAACCCAACCCCAGATGAGGCCACAGATTTGGTCAATACCTTGACTGCTACATGAGGCCCTAAACAGAAAATTCAGCTTAGCTGTTCCTGAACTCCCCAACAAAGGAAACTGAGATAATAAATATATATTGTCTTAACTCACTAAGTTTGGGATCACTTGTTATGCAGCAATTGAAACTAATACGAGGAAACAGAGTAATTAATTTTATTAGAGCTCAACTACTAACTAGACACCTTTCAATATTCTATGTGATGAAATAAAAGAATGCTTAAAGCATTTCTGTTGCACTCCAAAGTATTATAGTTGGTTCAAACAGCACCTGTGTGGTTGTTTCAGTTTTGAGTTGTATTAGCTGCTCTGTGTCATGAAGACAACTTTTACTGGAAAGAATGAATGATGGGCAGACTATGGTTGTGGCAGCTTAAATACTTGGCTGATGATTTCTTGAAAATGAATGAAATGAGGCTGTCACTTAAAATCACTGGCTGTATTTGTTGTCAATGATAAGATTTCAAACAAGAATTAAAATTTCAAAAAAATCTATATCTACCAATGTGAGCTTAATAGCTTCCACATCCTTAAAGACTTCTTCTAATGAGATGGGTGGTAATATTAAAAACAGTGAATTCTAAGTATTGCATGATGAAACATGGCATTTTTTGGAAGATCAAAAGACCTTGGGACAACAATATTTTCCAAATGATCAAAGCACAATGTACAAAACCAAGAATGGGTAAAAGTTCCACTGAGAGTGCAAGAAGAGTCTTGTGGGGTTTAACTCAATTATGGGAAGTTCATTGATATGATTTCATATTCCACACTGCACTTAACCTAAAAGAAACAACCACTGGTTGAGTTTAAGTTTTTAGTGTCTTATCAAAGAATGTCCGCAATGATCTGAAAAGCCTATAGAAGTATTCCTCCCTTTTCCAGCTGCATATCTAAATGAGGCCAGATTTATTTCATATACTTCAACCATTACAACATGCTACAACTGAATCCAGAACCAGCTGTGAGAACTCTAGTTCTTCCACTAAGATAGCCATCATATAAATTTGCAAAAATGTACAAAAAAAGCTTCTCACTAAATTCCATTTTTGTCTTGCCAAGTATAGTTATTTCACATAAAACTATGTTATTTATGTTAACATGCATAGGTTTATTGTTGTTCATTTTAAATTAATAAATACTTAATTTTTTTCAGTTTTAAGTTCAAAGATGATAAACATTGATAGATGTGACCCACATAGCCAAAAACCCTTGAGATCCTCAATAATTTTGGGAGTCCGAAAAGTTTGAAAACACTATTTTAGGGTTCTCCTGTGCCTTGAAGTGCCCCCAGCTCTGCCAGGCCAGGAGTGGCTCTGTGGATGTAATAATTAATAAGCTACAACTCAACCAGTGAGCTATAGTGCTGGTCAGTGCTTTCAACCAGCTACAACTTACCTCCTCCTCCTGCACTTGGTTCCTTGTGGCCATCATTTTGATCATTTTGATCATCCAAAGCATCAGCCAAGTTGAAATCATCTACTTCTTAAAAGAGAAAATCAATTGGTTAAATGACAGGTAGCCCACTTAGACACTACCCCAGAGGGAGCTCCACGGGGTCTTTCCTTACTGTCTTCCTCAGAGAAGCTTGTTACCTGCAAGCTTTGCTGGAGCTCTGGTCATTCCTGGCCTTTTAGTTGTGGTGGTGACATGGTCCCATCTCTCTAAAAGAGAGAGAGGAGAGAACAAGAGAGCACATTCAGTAACAAAATACAACAGCCACTTCATGTCTCAGGAAAGTCCCATCATGAGTAGTGTACCCTTGTCTTGGTTCTCAGGGCCCCTCTTAAGCCTCTGAGAATCACTTAGAGAAGGATGAGGAGATGTAGGAGGTTTAAATGAGACAAGTTCTGCTCACATTTCTTCAGAGGATAGGTGGTGAGATGGACATTGTCCCACATGTAACCTGGTGATTAATGGAGCTGGGGCTTTAGCCCCATCTCCTAGAGATGATCACATGGTCCAGTGAGTTCCAGAGCTTGAGCATGGCCTTTGAGTGCTTCAAGTCTTGTTTTCCACCACTATCAACCTGGCAGCATAACCACAGACACTACTGCCCAAGGATGGATGGAGGTAATGTTCACAGTAGAGTATGAGAGTGTCTTATAAGCTGCAAGTGATTATAACACCAAGAAAATATTTTATATCAGTGTGGCAACTACTGCAAATATTAGGTTTATGGGCTCAACCATATTCCTTTAAAATTATGGAATTCTTTCGCATCGATTACAGGGTATGCCAAGCACAAGTTTTCCAATAGTTTCTTTTCTTAAACATCAAGACTATATTGTAACTGTTATAATATTAGTAGTGTAGTAGAGACAAAGAAAATTTAAGTAATGGAAAAGGCAGAGATGAAACAGATTTAAGTATACACAGCAATCACTCAATAATTATTGACTACTCAAGAAAAAAACAACAAAATAGAAATTAATTGAAAGTAAAAGGATGCATACAGTTATAGAATGCAAAAAGCAACCATAAGAGAGCTGGAGTAGCTATATCAGATAAAACAGACTTTAAGACAAACATTGTTGCAAGAGTGACATTTTATAATGATGAAACAATGAATCCAGCAGGAAGATATACAATTTTAAACATATATGTATCTAATAACAAAGCCTCAGAATACATAAGGCAAAAATGACAAACCTGAAGGGAAAAATAGTTGGAGATTTCAATACCATCCTTTCAATCATAGAACAGTTAGATAGAAAATCAAAATGGAAGTATAAGACTTGAGCAACATTAGACCTACCATCTATAGAACATACCTCCCAATAACAGAAAATACATTCTACTCAAGTACATATGGAACATTCTACAGGATAGAAAATATGCTAATCTACAAAACAAACCTCAATATATTTAAAAATACTAAAATCACAAATTGTATTCTCCAACCACAATAAGATGAAAATAGTAATCATTAACAGGTCATTTGGAAAATTCACGATTATATGGAAATTAAACAACACACTCTTAATAGCCAATGGGTCAAAGAAGAAATCACAATGGAAATTATAAAACACTTTGAGATGAATGAAAATGAAAACACAATATACCAAAACTTATATGTTGTTGTACAAGTAGTGCTCAGGGAGAAATTTCTAACTGTAAACATCTACATTAAAAAAAGATCTCAAATCAAAAACCTAACTCTTTCATATTAATAAACTAGAAAAAGTAGAAGAAAATAAATCTAAATCAAGCATAAAGAAGAAATTATTATATAAGAAATAAATTAGAGAATATAAAATAATAGAGAAAGTAAACAAAACCAAAAAGTTGGTTCTTTCAACAAAATTTACAACTTGTCAGCAGATTGACCAAGACAAAAAGAAAGATTCAAATTACTAAATTCAGGAATGACAGAGAAGATATCACCACCAACCATACAGAAATGAAAAGGCTTATTAAAGAATACTATGAACAATTATATTACAATAAATTATTGTAATGGATAATAAATGGAAAAATTCTGATTAATACACAAACTACCAAAACTGAATCAAGGAGAAACAGAAAACCTTACTAGACCTATAGCAAGTATAGAGATTGAATTACTAATTTAAAAACTTTCCAGAAAGAAAGCTCCAGAACCAGAAGGCTACATTGGTAATGTCTACCAAATGTTTAAAGAAATATCAACACCAATTCTCTTTAAATTCTTCCAAAAAATACAGAATGGAAGACTTCCTAACTCATTTTATGGGGTCTTAATACCAAAGCCAGACACATCCACAAGATAATTACAGACCTATAAATCTTATGAATAGATGCAAAATCCTCAACAAAATACTACCAAACCAAATCCAACACCATATTAGGGTTATACACCATGACCAAGTGGGATTTATTCCAAGAATGCAAGGGTAAATTCAACATAAGAAAAATCCATCACTGAAATATCCAATATTAACAGAACAAAGGGAAATAAAACACATTAATCATCTCAATAGATCCAAAAAAATCATTTTACAAAAGCTAACATTTCATAAGCCTTTTCAATAAGCCTTTTCAGTTCCTTGAAAATGTACTTAGATGCACAGGATTTTTTTTTGGGGGGGGGGTTGTTGTTAATCCTCACCAGAGGATATTTTTTCCATTGATTTTTCAGA